GTGCTGCTATAAACTGCAGCGTCCTGGGTTGTGCGCCCCTCCGCAGCGCTCCCAGTCCTGCCTCCAGGTGGGGGCACGTCTCTGCCCTTTGTGCTTTTAAAACCGCCAGCCGCTCCCAATGCGCGACCTGCACGCGACTCCACTGCTTAGGGTCCTGTCCTGGGGACTGCAGTTCGCGTGTGCGCGACTCCGCCGCTTGGGGTTTCCACCCCAGAGGTTGCAGTTCACCGGCGGGACCCCGGCGTACCGGGTTTCTGTCTCGGAGGCTGCAGTTCTCGTGCGCGCGACCGTCGCTCCGGGTTTCTGTCTGGGCGACTGCGGTTCGCGTGCGCACAACCCCGCCGGTCTCGTCCTCCACCCTGGTCTGCGAGTCTGTGCCTGTCTGCAATGCGTGAGGCTGTCACTCACCGGTGGTGTAGGTTCCCCACGTCCAGGCACCCTCCCGCTGCCGTTTATCCTCCGATATCTGCCCACAGAATCACGGCTCTCCGCTTTGTACCTCAAAACCAACCGCCTGCGATATTCTGTTTGTAGAGATCCAGATCTTCTTACATCTCAGGCTGGTTTCCTGGGTGCTCAGCGTGGTCTGGTAGATATCCAGCTCAATTCCGGGAACCAGTTGAAATAGGGTCCCCTACTCCTCCGCCATCTTTCCCCCTCCTCTATAATTACTATTGTTATTTATTTATTTATTTTTGTTTCAATTTTAATTCCAGTATAGATGACATACAGTGCTCTGTAAGTTTCGGGTGTACAGTATAGTTATTCAACAGTTCTGTACACTGCTCAGAGCTCATCATGATAAGTGTAGTCTTAATCCCCTTAACCGATTTTACCCATCCCTTCACCCACCTCCCCTCTGGCAACCACCAGTTTATTCTCTATAGTTAAAAGTCTGTTTCTTGGTTTGTCTCTCTGTCTCTATTGTTATTATTGTTACTTTTATTTTTATTAGTATTATCCTGACTTTTGCCTTCTTTTCCTGCTAGTCCTTTTTCCTTAGAGATTGATGCTATTCTTCATCCTTATCTTGGTTTTAAATCCTGGAATAATCAGGAGTTTGTTTCTTCACTCCCTTTATTTCACCATTTTGTTCTATATGCTTGATACTTTTCCCATTCAACTATTTGTATATTTTTATCCTCTTATGATTTTAGAATGCCTTTTATGTCCCATTCCGTATAGAGGTAGTTGCATTAATCAGATTGATTTGCTTTCAAAAGGTGAATATTTTAGATTATTTAGCATGATAACTTCTCAGGCAGAAAAAGTCTCAGGTATGAAAACTCACCTTTAAAAAAAATTAAATGTCTTGCTTTCATTCTAATTCTGGGTATTTCTATACATTTCTAATAACAGATATTTCCTAATACATTTTTCTGTAACAATTTTATCAACTTGAGCTTCATAAGCATTTCCTCCAAATTTTCCTATTTTGAATTTTTTTATATAACTATATTATTTAACATTTTTGTGAAGTTTATAATAAATCTTTCTAATGTACTTGAATTTATGCTGTCTTCCATTTATATGTGAGAAAGATGAGACTGGGAGAGTCTAATTGCTGCCCAAGGATATATGGTAAGTGACAGAGCTGGGGCCATGTTGTCTAACTGTATATCCAGTAATCTTTCCACTACATAATCCTTAGCTAGGTTAATAAATAATCTGAGTTGGTGAAAAGTGCAAAATATTAGTACTTATATTTTATAAAAGCATTTCAATTTACGTTTACTTTATATTTTACAGGATCATATGTTCCAGCAGAATATTCTTCCTTTAGAATTGCTGAACAGATATTTACAAGAATCAGTACTGACGATGATATTGAAACAAATTCATCAACATTCATGAAGGAAATGAAAGAGGTACCCAAACTAACCTTTCCTTATGTTAAACATATGTTAAATTTTTCCACTAGTGGTCAATTATTTTGTACGAAAATATCCTTATTCTAAAACATGCAGATGTGCTTATATTCCTCTACAAGAGCCAGAGGGCAGTCAAAGACAGCTTCTAATTTCTGTCTTATGTGGAAATGGAAGAGAAGGTTTTATTGAAAAATACAGTTTTAAATAAAAAGCTAGTATTATTGAACAAAAAACATGCTTTCATGTTTTTTATGGGATATATAAAAGACTGTCAGAAAACAATGATCTGTTCAGGACCATTTTGTATCTATTGTTCTTATTAGGTTTGATTTTAAAATAATAGATCACTGTGTTAGAATGCTTTTAAAAATCATCCTCTCATGTGCCCCTTTAGAATTTTCACTTTCTCTAACAAAGTACGTGTCATCACCTTTTTCTGATCTGAGCAAATATCAAATAGACTTGAAGGGCTAAAGGTATTCAGTATAGCTCTTGAGGTATCTTCAGTAGGTAGGAATTAATGGATCACTGTAGATTTGGATAACTTTTTATAAATGGGGGAGAATAGTTATTATCTGTGCTACTGTATATGACTTTTACATAATTATTTAGTATGTATTGAGTATCTATGGGAGAATATAGCAATGTACTAGGTGCTCGAAGTGTATTTTTAAATGGTCCCAGCTCTCAAGAAGCTTAGTCCTATAGAAAGGTAAAAGACCATAAAATTTACTATTGTGTCAGTACATAATGTGGGTGTAATTATAATTTTTGGGAAAGAGGCTAATACTCTTCAGTGGGGAAGGAGAATTTCTGTCAATTAAAGTCTTGGTCTTTGTTGCATGGATTTACATTTATTTGTTTAAATAGGAATCAGTGGACTTGGATACTTTTCCCTCATTTTTTTTCTATCTTTACTGGCTATTGAGATGTTAAAATAAACTTGAGAAATAGTTTTGAGTATTTTATGACAATTAATTAGTCATTTGTGGAGAAGAAAATGACCATCTTTTTGTATTATTTAAACATTTAATTCATTGCTTAGTTTTATTTCACTGTTTCTAAAACATTAATATTTTAGATAATGGTTATTTACTGTTTGTTGTCTCATACACATATGCATGTGTCTGTTTATATACATATCAGCTGTTCTACTGGAATTATTAGTCATGAGAATTTTTAGAAGAAAAGCAATGTGTTAGTTTCTACTCAGCTGGATAACTTTATAAAAATACATTTCGGATGAACTAATAAAGAGACTGGATTTTTCCTCATTTTTTAAAATGGTAGTGACAGCTGTTTGGTTACAATGAATAATATTAAAATTATATTTTTCAGATAGCTTACATTCTACATAATGCTAATAACAAATCACTCATACTAATTGATGAACTTGGCAGAGGTACTAATACAGAAGAAGGTATTGGCATTTGTTATGCTGTTTGTGAATATCTGCTGAGCTTAAAGGTATTCTTCTCTATTCTTTTAAGTGTATTAATTTTGAGTCCTTTTTTTTCTTAAAGATTTATTTATTTGAGAGAGAGAGGGCGAGAGCTCACACACTCGTGAGCGGAGGAGGGGCAGAGGGAAAGGGAGGAGGGAGAGAGAGATCTCCTGCAGACTCCTCGCTGAGCACAGAACTGATATATGGGGCTTGATCTCACAGCTGTGAGATCATGACCTTAGTGGAAACCAAAAGTCCAATGCTCAACTAACTGAGCCACCCAGGCGCCCCTTATGTATCCTTTGTATATTTATCATGACTAGATTTTACAGGCACCTACAAATAGCTCTTTAAACAATTTTAGGTAATAAAAGAGTACCATAGCATTTATATTTTTCTTAGTTCATTTCTGATAGAAACAGGAACAGCTAGTATGATAGTCATGATGTAGACAAGGAAAAAAGGAAATCAAGAAATACAAATAATATCAAAACTAGTCACTTGGCTTTAATTTAATCAAATTAAAAGGCAAAACATGAAAGCATTTCAATAATTGTCTCCATGGATAATAACATTGACTGTGATGTCACAACATGAAATGAAAAACTAGGCATCTGAGGTCACTTTATGGAAAATTATTTTACTTACCCAACTAAGATTTCATTCCTTTAAAGAAAACAGGTTTTCACAAATCAAGTAAAACAGGCTATGATTTTTGCTCTATTATTAAGCTAATTTGTAAAATATCTCTTTAGATGATCACTCAGAATATATACAGGTATGAAAAAACTTAAAAATATATTTCCATATTTAAAGTACCTTGAAATATCCCTAAGATGATGTCCTTTACCTTAAATGACAGTCCATAATTTACTATAAAGAAAGAAAAATCTTATTTTTGTGATAGGTATGTGATAAAAGTAATGTTAAGAGATAACATTAGTCTTTGTAATACTGAATCTATGTCAGTTGATCAGAATTTCTCATAAAAATAAGATATATATATATTACTTGTTAGGATTAAAAGCTAATTAGTGTCTGTGATGGTTAATTTTGTATGTCAGCCTGACTGGACTACAGAGTACTGGACATTTGGTCAAGCAGTATTTTGGGTGCATCTATAAGGGTTTCTGAATGAGATTTGTATTTGAACTGGTAGACTAAGTAAAGCAGATTGCCCTCCCTAGTGGGGGTGGGTCCCATCCAATCAGTTTTTTTGTTTGTTTGTTTGTTTTCATGGGCTTGGTAAATATCAGTTCTTTTATTTCCTCTGTTCCATTCCAGCTCCAACATAAGAAGGGTTAAGAGTAGTTAATCCTATAAATCATCATATAAATTAGAGTCCAAGGGAGACACTGCAAAATAACATGTCCCAGGAGCAGAAACATGACATGTGAGAATTGGGGTCTACACTTGCATGAGAGAAGGCTACATCACAGGGGCAGAAGCTTGGTGCTCTGTTTTTACCCAAGAGTTTAGTTTAATAGGGGGTGGTGGGTGTTGAGTTGGCAAAGGGATGGATGGAGTGTGCTAGAATGTCTGTCATCCCACAGCACCACACCTTCTCTTTGAGGTCTCCTTGGCACTGTTCTCTGACAGCAGAGAAGCCAGAAACACACATGGTGAATGTCCTTCCTTGGAGGGCTGTGGGCTAGAACCTGCCAGGGAGGTTTGGAAGGTGGAGAAGGGGCCATAATTCACTGTGTGCAGCCTAGCACATACACAGACCTGGGGTCCAGGACAGCCTCAGAGGGATTCCTGAGAGCTGCTGGCTTTGTTGCTGCCACCTGAGACAGATGTCAGGGCCTTCCCAGATGTTCTAGACAATTGCAGTGGCCCAGTGAGCTCTTGAGAATCACACACTTTGGCTCTCCGAGCTGGACTGGGGCAGCTGCACCCCTGACCCTCACTCCTCTAGCTCTCCCTGCTCCTGTACAAAACCCTCCATACCCAGACACGTGCCAGGGCTCCTGCTTTCCTGGCTACACACGGACCAGCAAACCTGCTGCCTGGCACCATGTCTGCCCACCATACCTTCTAGGAGCTGTTCCTCTTCAACTCTGTCCCATGGGATCTGGATCATCCAATCTTATTCTCAGTTCCAGGGATGAGGCCAGACTGATCCAAGCTCTCTCTGTGCCCCAGTAGTGGCTCAGGAGTGTATGCCTACCCAGGCTGGCCAGTGAGTACAGGAGGAGGGTCCTGGCCACAGTGACAGTTTTCAAAAACTTTCTGGGTGACATCTAGGTGAAAAGTTCCCCTTCCTCTGGACACTATGTCGTGGTGGAGGGACCAAACTGCTGTGGCCACTTGGGGACCCAGCCTGAGGTTCACACAAACTCAGGAACAGCAAATGAGAAGGCTACAGAGAAATGGAACTTGATCCTTGGTCAAACAGACCTTGGAATCCACCCTACCTTTGGATTTTCAATTTCCATGTTGGTAAAGCCTATTTGGGCTAGGTTTTTGGATGTAGCCAAAAGCATCTTGACTTACTGTTTTCATAAGACTCCTTTACTTGTGGACTTCTTGGCTAAATGTATTAACATTTGTTTCTTCTTCCTAAAAGTCAAATTTTCAACATGGCTGTCCATGTAAGATTGATAGTTTTGTTCCATTTGTTCTTCTGTTGGCTGGTGTAAGCCACCAGGTTCTCTGCTTACTGCAAGAACATCTTTAAGAACTTTAGATACTCATAAGATTTTTTTCCATGAACCACATGAATGTTGACCAATTCCAGTACAATCAGTGATAAAATTGGGTAAAGCACAAGAGACAGAAACTTAATACTACTTCCTTTGCCTGGAACACAACATTCTGTCTACCCACTGCTAGCGTCTCAACTCCGTGGAGGCAGCAACCTGGCTGGACATGCGGGTGCAGTGTGTGCTGATGTTTCGAAGCATGATGAGCACTTCCAGAATGGTTCTGGGACAGAACAGAGTTAGGATGGGGGTGCCACAGAGTTCACAGATTACCTGGGGCCACTTCTCAGCAGGAGGGTTGTCCCAAGTCACTAACAACACAGTGATTCTCAGGCAGGTGGTAATGCAGCTCATACATGATTTTTTTTAAAAGATGTTATTTATTTATTTGACAGAGAGAGACAGTGAGAGAGGGAACACAAGCAGGGGGGGTGGGGGAGGGACAAGCAGGCCTCCCGCTGAGCAGGGAGCCCGACACGGGGCTCAATCCCAGGACCGTGGGACCATGACCCAAGCTGAAGGCAGATGCTTAATGACTAAGCCACCCAGGCACCCCATCATACATGATTTTAAAGAGCTGCAAGCATTTGTTTCAGAATTACTTCTAATCTGGCTGCTTCCTCAGCTTCTTCAGGCAAAGGCAGGAGGGGCCAAACACTTATGATGCTCTTCTCACAGCTCAGCAAGTTTTTTTTAAGTTGAGAAACTGGATGGAAGGGAACACTGTAGCCTTCTGCAAGACCAACCAATGATTTTATTACTGCTTTTTCCTTAAGCATTGATAACAGATCTTCATCAATGAATCTGAGTAAAAGTACAATGGAAAATGCAAGTTATTGATTTGTTGCTTCTTTTGGAAATTTAGATAAGCTGATTTCCCCATGGCTTAAATGATCTCTTATATGGGGACTCTCCTGATGGTTCAGGAAATCCCAAAGAAATTGTATTGCAGGCTCTCCAAGGAAAAGAGGAATTTGATTGATTTTTACCATCATTCAAGTGTTTTGCCAATATTTCCTCACAGGTGGTATAAAGAGCTGTTGACTCAGCAGTCAAAAGTCTTTGTGGACATTTGTTAATGGCAAAACTCTCCTAAGTCCTGTCTCTAGCTGTGTCAATAACAACATGGCACAGTTGGCAAACCTGTGTGACTTGAACTTGATTAATGCAACTTCTCAGTATAGGAACATGACTTTTAATATAACAGTGTATTTCTTCATTACTTCTAATACTGTAAGTACCTCAGAAGTAACAGCAGGGAAAAGAGCCAAATCCTCAAGGTTTGTAAGAACTCTGAAAGGTCGGCATGCCAATGCAAATTTAGTTTGTTGCAAATAACTTTTCAGCAGCTGACCCAATCCTGCTGTCAACAGTATCATCATTGAACAGTAGTTTGGAGGGATTTCTTGAGGGGACACAAACCCATGCCATAAGATGTTATGTAGACTGAGTCCACATGGAGATCCAGTGAAGACTTTTAGTATGTCTACCATGTACTAGCAAGCTCCTTAGATGCAAGCAGATCTCAAAAGAAAGGGGCTTTCCTGGGGTACCTGGGTCATTGAGCATCTGACTTGATTTTGGCTCAGGTCATGATCTTAAGGTCCTGGGATAGAGCCCCGCATGGGACTCTGAACTCAGGGCAGAGTCTGCTTGGGATTCTTTCCCTCTCCCTCTGCCCCTGCTCCCCTCCCCCGCATGCCCTGTTGCAAGCCCTCTCTCTCTTAAAAAAAAAATAAAAGGGGCATTCCTTCCCATTCAGTAAAAATATATTGCCCGAAGCCTGTTCTAGACACGCTGTCAGTTTCATTAAGCTACAAGAAATAGCAGGAGATTGAAGACTTTCCAAAACATCAGATATTTCAGGAAATAACTCTGCAAAAGCTGTCCACTGCAGCCATGGTGTATATTGAATTTCAAACTGCCCCTTGGTCAGAGATAACAAATGTGAGTGGACAGCCTCACACACAGGGCGCAGCAGCCTCGTGCTTCCCCCCGTAATCCAGATTCTGGGCTGATTCTGTATCAGTCACACAGTCTGTGATTGTCTTCCAGCATACTTCACCCCTCTGAGTTATAGTGCCATTGATATCACAGTTTTCTCTGACTTCAAACCTGAGTTTACAGATCATATTATAGGACTCAGGGAGAAAGACTAGTGGTAATAGGATCCTCTGTTAGTATACTGTGTATTTGGGAATTTCAGCCTGGGACCTGGGAGGTAAGGGAACTGGCCCCTGAAACAATCTGGGGGTAAATACAGCCCCAAGGAGAGGGAGGGCAAGGGGTGCGTCTTTGGGGTCAGGGTCAGGTGCCCATCTTCTCTAGTTGCTCACTAGGGTCTGGTAAGGCTGACCTGCTTCTGCAGTGACGCAGTCACAGTGGAGGCTCAGGAATGGTGTCCTAGAGCCCACATCAGGGCATGCCTTCCAGCACACCGCCAGGGTTGCCAGAAGGGTGCGGCCAATGCTGCACCTCCTCCAGCTCTTACTGTAGTGGGCCTGAGCACACCAGGAGTGTGCTCACTGTGCACAGGCACCCTGGCTCCCATCTGCTCTACCTCCATGACTTCCAGCTCCTCCCATCCAATCAGTTTTGAGTGGGGCCCAGTTGAATACCTGAATAGAACAAAAAGGCTGCCCTCCTGGGAGTGAGAGGGTTACTTCCTGTCTGACTGCTTTCAACCTAGAATCATTTTTCCTGCCTTTGGACTAGAATTGAAACATCAGCTCTCTTTGGATCTTGAGCCTGCCAGCATTTGGACTGGAACGACACCATTTGCTCTCCTGGTTCTCAGGCCTTTAAACTCAGACTGGAACTACAGCATCAGCTCTCCTGGGTCTCCAGTTTGCTGATTGCAGATGTGGGGATTCTTCAATCTCCATAATCATATGAGCCAATTCCTTATAATAAATCAAGCTCTCTCTCTCTCTCTTTCTCTACACACACATACACACACCCGATTCTATTTCCCTGGAGAAGCCTCACTATTACAGATTTTGGTATTGAGAGTGGTTCTAGAGCAACAGAATTTTAAGGATGAGTTTTCTGAATCGGTTCTGGGGTTTCTGGAATTGACTCTTTAATCTGATTAGATTTATTTTATTTTTATTATTTAACTCAAAGACTTGTTTTATTATAGTAAATGGGCGGGGACTGATGGGAAGGGTAGATGTAGTGGGCAGCCGTAGCCCTGACTAGTGTTGGATGCCCATCCTGATGGCCACGAATATGTTAAAGATGCCACCACTCTGCATCATGGTTTTCCTGATGCCATCCATCAGCTCCCAACCCCACATTCCAATCCTGAGACAAGAAAAAGTACCCAAGAGCATCCCAGCTGCCATGCCTACTGCATAGCCCATCATGAAGCCCATCTTCACGTGGTTGAAGTAGCTTGGCTGGGACTGTCTGTGTGGCCCCACAGCCACTGGCATCCTCTCAGCGTTCAAGTCCCTGCGCCATGGTGCCCCCATCTCACCTCTAATCTGATTAGATTTAAAGATACTAACAATTCTATTTCTAGTAGTAAAGAGTAATAGGTTGGTTTGATACATAAATTTTGAGGACATTAATGTTATTATGAACATGGTCCTCAACTTCTAAATAGTTTACTGGACTTCTAAGTATTTTTCTGTTGCTTTATAAATTTGGTTTTATACCCCTTTTGATTTATTGAGTAAGTAGTTGAGTTTTTTTCATTTTTCTGTCCTATACCTCTTGCCATCCCCCTTACATGGCTGATGCCATTTGCCAGCCCAAATACTTTCTTTTTAATATCTTAACATTTTATTTTTCAATTAATCACATATTTATAGTTTTTCCTAGTAATATCTTAAGAACATAAACAATTATTCAAATCTCTGTCTAGTTTAGTAACTCACAACTGGAAACCACATGCTGGTCATAAGTCACTTGAACCATCTGCATCAATATCACCTAAAATACTTCCGGAAAATGGAGTTTCCTGGCACTCCACATTACAACTACTGATTGAGAATTTTGGGGGTATAAGTACCAAGAATTTGCATCTTTAACAAACTCCCCAGGGGATTACTAAAGTTTGAGAATCATTGTCCTAAGCATTATTCTCCATCTTTTCTTTCTTCCCTTTAAGTACCTAACCCAAACACAAGGCAAATCTAAAAACTAAACCCTTTGCGATTTTGAATACCTAAGACAAACCATTGATTCCACTTTCCAAAAAATAGTTATATGGAGGGAAGCTACTTTTAAAGTAAAATTTTTTTAAAAGTTGAGGGAAATGTTATGATTTTGTTTGTAGATTACTTTTCTAATAAATGATTACCTCATTTAACAGCTTTATTTCTGGTAAACCTCATCTTTTGAATATCTTCAGATTTTTTTAGGATTTTATTTTTAAATTTGTTCTCTTTCCTATAATGTAACATACATGTGATGTGTAAACATAATAAACATGTTTCTTTCATTGAATATAAATTTGCAAAACATTTTGAAATGAATTGACCATTATTAGTTTCATTCCTACACCTCTGCCAAGCTACTTGGAAAATCAAACTAAAATTTTTTTCTGGTTCATTTTAAAAATACTAACATTCATTATTATATATTCTAGGCATTTACACTGTTTGCTACACATTTCCTGGAACTATGTCATATAGAGGTCCTGTATCCTAATGTAGAAAACATGCATTTTGAAGTTCAGCATGTAAAGAACACTTCAAGAAATAAAGAAGCAATCTTGTATACCTACAAAATTTGTAAGGGACTCACAGAAGAAAAAAATTATGGTATTGCATATGGAAATTATATCTATATAATATCTATTGAAACACTACATATTCTCATAATTCTTCTCCCTTTACTTGGCTGTCAATCTAAGCAGCTTTTCCTGTCAAAGAATTCTTTTGAGTGTTTATGCTCTAAGACTGTATTTTCTATGTCAAGCTCACATTTTATGTATATTAAGCTTATATTTAAACTTATATCAGTCAGTACTTATGTAGAATTACAACACATGAAAGTGCCAGAAGTATTAGTTTCTATTCTTAGAAAAATGTAATTTAGCTTATATTTGCAAGTTATAAATGAATTGAAAATTGTATATTTCTCACTTTTTCAGTAACATCTATTTTCTTCAGATGCAGGGAACTTCATAATCTAAAGTCTTAAAAGGGAATGTATTATCAAACCATATACTTGTAAACTTGATTAGATATTTTCTATCTAAATCATTATGTAACATTATAAAATCTCATGAATTCAGAAAATTTTTAATTGATCTATACATATAAGTTCCTAAAATTATTTTAGCTATGAATGTGACCCTTTGAGGAGGGGAAAGCATCTTTGTTTTGCTATTTGAAATGAGAAATCAACTGCATAACTTAATTTGTATCAGATATTTAATTTTTATAAGCTTTAATTTCATCTAGTAAATGGGGATAATTTTCCATATATGTAGGGCTTATGAAGATTAAACGAATTATCAAATATGAACTGTTTAATATAGTACCTAGCAATTAGTAACTTCTCAATAAATGTGTTAGTGTTGTTTCTATTGCCTCTAAAATAGTACATACAATAAACTATTAGCACACAGTAGAAAGCCTATGTGGCATTTATACAATAAAATTAGGCTCAGGGGAGAATACTAGAGAGTACTTTGAATTTGCATGAAGAATAGTCATCTATAGTTATATCTTGTGAGAAATACCTCTCTTGGTGATCTACTAGACAGATGAACATTCAGCTGTACGGTTATCTCTGTGACTAGGGTTATCTCTCCTCCCTTGCAAAGCTCATAATTCTTTGACCTTCTATTAACCAACTGCATTTGTAGTTGGAATTTCATTGTTATTATTAAGTTTTCTAGTTACCCCTTTTCTTTTCCCTATCATGTTTTCCTGACTGTCTCAGATGTATCTTGAGAGGTAATTGATATTCTAATTTGTCATATGTCTTGGACAACTAATTAAATATAATCGGTAAATAGTCATCCAGAACTTTGGAAAACTTAATTTTGAGAATTGCTAAGTTGTTCAGAAATGCCTGTAGAATAGAAGTCTAAATCTGTGAAGAAAAGATTATTACTGCTTAAAATAAACATAATACCTGCTATAACAACATTTAAGCCCCATTGTATTAATTTTAGGATTAAAAGCTGCAGAAGTGTCATCACTCCCACCATCAATTGTCTTGGATGCCAAAGAAATCACAACTCAAATTACCAGACAAGTTTTGGTAAGAAACTTCTTAGCAATAAGAATTGGTTTTCCAATTCAAGAAAATACTTTTAGTGTACATTTTTATAATGGTGTTGTATCTAACTATATAATAATATTAATAATTAAAACATTTAAATAAAAACCTAATTCTAAATAAGGCAAATCTTTTTTTACTTCTCACGATTTTTTTGGTTTGGTCTATTTCAACCTTTCCCAACAAGTCAACTAATAAGATAGTAGATAAAGGTTAAACAGTTCAGTTCCTATAATACTTATTGCTACACTAACTTTATGATGAGAAAATAAGTCTATATAAAGTAAGCATTACAAATAAAAATCACATATTCCCTAGGTGGCTCAGTCAGTTAAGTGTCTGACTCTTGATTTTGGCTTAGGTTGTGATTTCAGGGTCGTGAGATCAAGCCCCGAGTTGGGCTCTGTGCTGGGTATAGAGCCTGTTTAAGATTCTCTCTCTCCCTCTCCCCCACCCCCACTCATGCTTGTTCTCTCTAAAAAATAAATAAAAATAAAAATTACTATGCACCACACTTTCATATCCTTTAAAATAGTTTTTAAAACTCTTATCCATTATATATAAGCCTCATGACTCTTCATGAAGTAGTTAGGTCTTTCTAATATAAGATTAATAATAAAGCTGTTATTTTTACTCATGTTTTTACAACTGAGGTTCACAGAAGTTAAGTGTTTTGCTAGGAAGCAGTAGATTTATCTCTGAACTCATGTTGATTCAAAATTTGGAAATCTTTTTTTTTTTTATAATATCAGGTTGCTTTATGTTTTAAGAATGCTGTGTGTTCAGTAAACTAAGCTAGGTGCATTATGAAATTTTCTTCAGTAGTAGTGGTTTCCTTTGTCTTTCCCTCTTTCTTAACCTGCTTTTAATTTTTATTGTATCCCTTCAGTCTCTTGAGCTTCCAGACTATATGACTTTACTTGCCTAATCCTCCATTTGAATCTCTTCAACAATTTTGGCAGTGTCGTGCCTCTGAAGATTCTCTCATTACCTAGTTCCTCAGACTTCATCTTGCCAAATTCCAATTATGGCAAGCCTTCTCCAGTTGCCTTCTAGGCTTTGGCTTTCCTAATAATGATTCTCAAAATATATTCAAGACAAGCTAATCTTATCTACTGTCAATTCATATATTCTACCTTTAGTCAAATATTTTACTGGATAGTTTTTTCCCCTTTTATTGATCTGTATAGTTTCTTTAACTCTTTCAAAACATTTCTACTCTTCCTAAACCCTCAATGTCCTCACTGTACAGAAAATTCACTTCCTATATTTTTTGAGAGACTTGAGGTTATCATGATGAATCCTTGAACTTTTTCTCCTTAAAAACTCTATTTTGGGATTTCTGTTTTTCACCCAGTTCTCTTCCTTTCTATCGCAGAGGAAGAGATTACCTTTCAACTTATTTGAGGTTAACTTTTCTACCTTCTTTCCATCTCCACTAAGATATAACTTCATAAGTTTCCTTTCTTCTCTCTCTTTTTTTCCTCTCTCTTTTTTAAAGATTTTATTTTTTAAATAATCTCTACACCCAACATGGGGCTCGAACTCACAACCCTGAGAGCAAGAGTCACATGTTCTACTGACTGAGCTGGTCAGGTGCTCCATTTTTTTAAAGATTTTTTTAAAAGTAATTTCTGTACTGAACGTGGGGCTTGAGCTTACAACCCTGAGATCAAGAGTCATATGCTCTACCAACTGAGCCAGCCAGGCACCCCTTGTTGCCATTCTTCTCTTTGCATCCTTAGTGTTTATTCACTGGCTTTTCTTTTTCCTATGAATATGCTTAGGTTTATCCTAAGAAATCCTTCTTTATTACCTTACTTCTCAAAAGATATTTTTTTTTTACTGCCAACTTCTTAAGAGTAATAACTACTTACTTCTTCCATTTTTCACTTGCAAACTAGATCTTGTCATCATGCCACTGAAACTTTCTTTGTAAAATACCAACTAATGATGAACTCTTATGGCCTCTTTTTCACTTCTCATCTTCCCTGGTCTCTCCATGGTATTTGATACTACCCTTCTTTCCCTTTTCATAATTCTTCCCTGTCTTGGCTACTATGAAATTGTCCTCTCCTGGATGTCTTCATTTTCCTACCTCTGAATGCCCCTTTTTTTCTTTCTTCAGTGCTTTTTTTTTCTTTTCAAATTTGTATTTAAATTCTAGTTAATTATGTAGTTTAATATTGGTTTCAGGAGTAGAATTCAGTTGAGTCATCACTTAGATACAATACCCAGTGCTCATGATAACAAGCACCCTCCTAATACCCATCACCCATCTAGCCCACCACCCCCACCTCCCTCAATCAACTGTCAGTTTGTACTCTATTGTGACTCGTCTCTTACGGTTTGTTTCCTTCTCTTTTTTTCCCCTCCCTCCCATATATTCATTTGTTTTGTTTCTTTAATTCCACATATGGGTGAAATCATATGGTATTTGTCTTTCTCTGATTTATTTTGCTTTAGCATAATACACTCTAACTCCATCCATCCATCCATCTTGCAAATGGCAAGATTTCATTCTTGGCTGAGTAATATTCCATTGTATATATATACCAATTCTTCTTTATCCATTCATCTGTTGATGGATATACGGGCTCTTTCCATAGTTGGCTATTGTTGATAATGCATGTAGCCCTTCGAATCTGTATTTTTGTATCCTTTGGGTAAATACCTAGTAGTGTAATTGCTGGGTCATAGGGTACTTCTATTTTTAACTTTTTGAGGAACCTCCATACTGTTTTCTAGAGTGGCTGTACCAGTTTGCATTTCCACCAACAGTGCAAGAGGATTCCCCTTTCTCTGCATCCTTGCCAACATCTGTTGTTTCCTGTGTTGTTAATTTTAGCCATTCTGACTGGTGTGAGGTGGTATCTCATTGTGGTTTTGATTTGTATTTCCCTGATGATGAATGATGTTGAGCATCTTTTCATGTGTCTGTTAGCCATCCGGATGTCTTCTTTGGAGAAATGTCTATTCATGTCTTCTGCCCATTTCTTAACTGGATTATTTGTTTTTTTAGCTGTTGAGTTTAATAAGTTCTTTATAGATTTTGGATATTGACATTATCAGATATGTCATTGGCAAATATCTTCTCCCATTCTGTAGGCTGCCTTTTGTTGATTGTTTCCTTGGCTGTGCAGAAGCTTTTTATCTTAATGAAGTCCCAGTAGCTCATTTTTGCCTTTGTTTCCCTTGCCTTTGAAGCCATGTCTAGCAAGAATTTGCTGCAGCCGAGGTCAAAGAGACTGCTGCCTGTGTTCTCCTCTAGGATTTTGATGGTTTCCTGTCTCACATTTAGGTGTTTCATCCATTTTGAATTTATTTTTGTGTATTTCACCAGTGCTTTTTATCGTTCTGCTTATTAAATGAAAGTTTTCCTAAGATTTTGCCCTTCCTTCTGTGCTTAAAACTATATTCTTGGTGAGCTCATCCTTTCCTTAGCTTCCATTTTCACTTCTTTTTGACCTTGAATCTATATATTTTTCTCCATATTTCTTCTTGAAATCTCAACTTACATTTTCACTCTTTAATAGGACCAAAATTAAATTTATCATGTGAAAAATCTTCTCATTTCTTTGCTTCCAAATTTCCCAGTGACCCATTAGAATAATCTTTGAATCCTTCTTAATCACCTCTTATTAGGACTATGCAGTAGATTCTCTCTCTTTTTCAATCCATCCTACATACTTCTACCAGATTGTCTCTTTTTTTTTTTGCATTGTTTACTTTTTTTTATTATGTTATGTTAATCACCATACATTACATCATTAGTTTTTGATGTAGTGTTCCATGATTTACTGTTTGCGTATAACACCCAGTGCTCCATTCAGTACGTGCCCTCTTTAATACCCATCACCAGGTTAACCCATCCCCCCACCCCCTTCCCCTCTAGAACCCTCAGTTTGTTTCTCAGAGTCCATAGTCTCTCATGGTTCATCTCCCCCTCCGATTTCCCCCCCTTCATTTCTCCCTTCCTACTATCTTCTTCTCTTTTTTTAACATATATTATTTGTTTCAGAGGTACAGGTCTGTGATTCAACAGTCTTACACAATTCACAGCGCTCACCAGATTGTCTCTTAAGCATAACTTTTATCATGTTTCCCTGTTCAGAAACTTTTGGTTGTTTCTTACCAAATTAAAGTGAAACTCCTTACCCTACTGTTAAACATTTTCTATGATTATTTCTCAAAATATAGTCTTAGAATTACCTACATTAGAATCACCTGTGATATTAGGGACCATCCTAGATTTTTGAAGATTTCCTATGGCTTAGGAATTTACATTTTTAACCAGTCTTCTGATGATTCTTAAACATACTAAAGTTTGTTAACTGCCGCCTTATGGTCTCCCTTTGTTTATTACCCCAACCTTAGATAACATTTTTCAATTTAACTAAAACCTACATTTTTGCCACATTGAGTTACTAGTCATTTCATCATTTTGACCTGTGTACCAGGATTTCTAATGTATCTGCTCTAGCTGTTTCCTCCATCCAGAATGCTCTTACTTCTGTGTTCTTCTATCTATCAAGAGTCATTCCAAATATTCCATCCTACTTAAGCTTTTCTTGACCTGAGCTGGAAATGAGTTCTCCTTCCTCTGAATTTTGAATCTCTCTCATGAGACTTATCATAATTACCTAAATCAGTTGCTTATGAATATGTCTCTTTCACTATAATAATATGTCTCTTTCATTGAGCCTCTTGAGTTCCATTGTCATGTCAGGTAGACATTTTTGTATCCCCCATAGACATAAACACAAGGTCTGAGGCCTGGAATATAGATGATAATAGATATTCAGTATTTATTATTTAGATAATAAACTGATAGTTGATCATTCAATGTATCAGATAGATGGGTGAATACATAATAATCTTATTTTACCTCATGGAGTTGGATTCATTTTTCTTACAGTGAAAGAAGAAAAATATCTTGAATTGCTTTCTATTGAGAAAGAGAGGGATTTTATTTCCCTTAGTAAAGGGAAACTCACTGACTTTACATTAACAGTTAAGATTGAAAATGCTAATTCTTCTATCTAGCTCAGGAAACGAGGTAGATGAAGAATTTTCCAGCTGTACTCCCATCCCTGAAGTACTACTCAAAGACTGAATATCTAAAGGCCTTCTAAAATATTAGAAAATTCCTGTTTTAAACATTGTTTCTTGGTCATCCTAACTATAGATTGTTAAGAATTGGCATAATTTCAAGTAGCTATTTATGGCACTTATTTTCAAAATGTAATTTACTCCTCAAGCAATGTATGTCTTAGACTCTAGCAGATTCTATATATGAAATCTCTTGAGAGACAAGCAATTTACTGTTGACCCATTCTGTCTACCAGTTTATCTATTGGGGAATTAAAGTAGGAGATAGCAGAGTACTACTCTGGGTGACATTTAAAGTGAATACTGCATAGCAATGATCAATTATGTTGAGTGAGAAATTTTACCTATTTAGCAGATTTTTTTTCATTGAAAAGTGATTTTCAAGAATATAAGAATCTGTCATAAAGTAGTAAATACTCATGAAAAGTTTTATTCTTTCAAATCCATATTTCTTTATTTTTTCTAGTACATTCTTTGCTAGTTGAATGGAATTGACTTATCCAAAGGAATTAGTTACCTTTGGGTTCTGTATTTCTATGAAAGGAAAGATAAAATTGCCAAAATTTTAAAACAAATTCATAGTAATCATATTTTAATTTTTATCTATATTTTTTCAATAACAGCAAAACCAAAGGAGTACCCCTGAGATGGAAAGACAGAGAGCTGTGTACCATCTAGCTACTAGGCTTGTTCAAACTGCTCGAAACTCTAAATTGGATCCAGACAGTTTACGAATGTATTTAAGTAATCTCAAAAAGAAGTATGAAACAGATTTTTCCAGGGCTGAACAAGTTTCAGGAAAGACCGAAGAATAATAACAATTCACATCATGTACTAATAAAATAATGTATCTTAATATGGGGAAACTAGAATTCATTTTTCCTAAGAGCAAAAGAAAATATTTGCTAAATTTTATGTCTTAATGGAAAATTGCATTATACTAACCTCAGAATTATCATCTATATATTGTCTATAAGAAAATATTTGTTATAACTTAACATATGAAAACCATTGAAAGGACTGTTTTTTATGTTAGAAAAATGTTAATATAACATTACAGTTTTTTCTCATTTATGAAAATTCATGTTATTAAGTCTTAAGTGTATTTATACTTACAAGTTATGGTTTACAATGTTATTGTAAATACCTTAGTTTTGGGGAAAAAAGCCTTTTTTTTTTTTTCCAGTCTGGAAACTTATGTGAGTTCTTTTACACTCTCTTCTGAAGCAATAAGACCCTATGGCTTAACAATTGCTTAATTAGTACCCCCAAATTCCAACACTGGATGCTTATGGAGTTTGTGAGAATGATACTGGAAATTTTGAAGTATTTTTTTGACATTGAATATAGTTCTAAAGGGTGAAAATAAATAAATAGATATTTTGTAATGCAGAGAATGTTTTTGGAAGGAGAGTTGCTATCACCTACCCTTTCAGTTTTCCAAATACCAGGCATTCCATTTTCTACTCACCAACCTCTTTTCCAAGTTTCATTTTTGGCCATCTTTTTTAAGTGAGTAACCAAAGCAGCAGAAAGGTAATACTGATTGATTTGCCTCAGGGAGCATTTTATAGAACTCTTTTCCGTAGGCATGTGGCTTACACCATCATTTCAGAGTTTACCCGAAGGTCATTCTTGTTTCATAAATGGACACAAAAAAAAGGAAGACAATCATTTGGTCATTACCTGTAAAGAGCAGGGCTGTTGTCTTCTCAAAACCGTTTTTCTACAATTCCTTCTTACATAATCTCAGCACAAAGGCCTAAGATGGGAAGTTATTCTTTTCTTGGACAATTAAGTATCTGGAACTCAGGGTATACATTCAATAAACTGTAGAATTCATAGTAATTTGGCCAAAAAAATATATTCACAGACTGGTTAGGGCCCTATTTTTTGTTAATGTATGCATATTTTATAAAATCTAATCTTTTTACTGTATTAAATTCTTAATAGATATATTGAAAAAGTTATAATTTGAATGACATACATACTTTTTGAAATGTAAATGTAAATTAGTGTTCATATTTTAGTTTGATACATGTTAAACATCCCATTAGACTACTTATATTCCCTATTGTCATGTTTTAGAAAGAGAGCACCACAATATTTGAATTTGACCATTAGCCATTTTTTAATTCACAGTCTTTGAAATGAATTATATTTATGTAGGCATTCCTAAGAGCAGTTAGATAATTCAGGTTTGCAGGAAATTTCTAAAAGGAACTGAGGATGAAAAGGGCATGGCAGATTGTTTGGGAAGAAAAGGGAAGGAGCTATAAAAGGCAGAAGGGGAGTATGCAGTGGGAAAAAAAACAGGCAAGCAGAGATAAGTGCAAAGTATTAAATATGCAGAATATCATTTCCTTAAATATATTAATTTCCCTCTAGGTTTAATCCTAATATTAGATTCCACCAGACTTTTAAGAAATTTTTCATGATTTAGATCTTTCGATGCAGAAACTGTAGCCAACTGATTAATCCCTTTTATTTTAGGTTTAGAATACTGAAATAAAAATAAATTTATATCTTCTTAAAATTAAATTACTTTTTCTTCAATCGTTTTGTGTGTAGCTGAAACATACAAAAAAGCAAATTAAATGAAGATATAATTATTATGTTGTGGCACTATAGAATAGAAGTGAATACTAGTGAGACAATTCATTCTTTAATTTTAAGGTCTATTTGCTCTTCTCTTCAGTACCTTTTTGCTTTGCCTTTCTCTAAAATTATAGATCATTATCTCATAATCCAGCCTTTTAAGATAAATGTTCATAATGTTGTAGCAAACTCCTTTAATTTCCACCTCAAAGCCATTCTTTTAGTCTCTTCCACCTTTCTCCTCACATAAAGTAGTCTTCTTTAAGTCTAGGATTAAGGTATGTGGGAGTCGAAGAAAAAGGCAGTTTATACTCATGCTTAGGAAGTAGTGCATTTGTTTGTTTTAAAATTTGCATACAGTAAAATTAACTCTCTTTTGATGTAAAATTTTATGAATTTAGCACATTTATGGATTCATGGAACCACTATGACGATCAGTTTCTTCACCAAATACCAAACAGTTCCTTCACCTTCACATCATTCCCTTAGTACTATCCCTTTGTTGTCAAATCCTTCCCCCTGACCCCTAACTTTAACCCAGCAATCACTGGAAATCAAGCATTTCATCCCTATAGTTTTGTTTTTTCCATAATGTCCAACAAATGGAATATATAGCATGGAATCTTTTGAAACTGGTTTCTTTTACTCAGCATACTACTTTGTAGAATTTGTCCATGTTGTTATGTCCTTTTATTGCTGACTAGTATTTCATTGTTTGTATGTACCATAGTTTACCCATACACTCATTGAAAGACAATTGGGTTTCCAGTTTTTGGTGATTATGAATGAAGCTGTTTAAACATTCTTGTATAGATTTTTGTATTAAGTTTTAATTTACCTAGGCTAAATAGGAGTGGAATGGATCTGTCATCTTGTAAGTATGTGTTTAACTTCATAAGAATTTGCCAAACTCTTTTCTAAAGTGGTTCTTACATTTTGCATTCCTAGCAGCCATGGATGAGAATGTTCCACATGTTCTCTAGCATTTGGTATTATCAGATTTTTTTTTAAATTTTAGCCATTCTAATAGGTATGTAGTGAGTAATGCATTTTTAGATTTTAAAGCTATTCTGCTAACTCTTTAGCAAGCAAAAGCTACTCTGACTTTTTTAAACAAATTATATCACTCTCTTATATGCTAGTGTTAAAAAATATTCAAATGTTAATAAATTGTGTGTAGTATGAACTTCCTGCATGCTTATTTATGAGCTTAAAATATGCTCAATTGTAATTAAATATACTTTAGTTAAGTATATAAATTCAATTCTATAATGCATTTGTACCTCACAGGAATGAAAATGGAAGGAAAGGAAAAGCAAATGATCTAGTTATATTGCTACTTTGCTATTTCCATTTTATTTAGAAATTTAAATCACACAGTTGTTTATCTTACTATAGGACCAGAATGAATACCCTTTTCCTATAAATTGTCCAAATTTTGATAGTCCCCAGATTGCAAGTAGACAGTGAAAAAGGCTACTAAGTGCCATAATCTACTAAAATGGATCCTAAAATAGTGTTGAGGTGAGAAACAGATTTTCATTGTCAAGAACTGTGACGATGTATTGTTTCAGAGGTACAGGTCTGTGATTCAACAGTCTTACACAATTCACACACTCACCATAGCACATACCCTCCCCAGTGTCCATCACCCAGCCACCCCATCTCTCCCACCCCCCACCACTCCAACAACCCTCAGTTTGTTTCCTGAGATTAAGAATTCCTCAAATCAGGGCACCTGGGTGGCTCAGTCGTTAAGCGTCTGCCTTTGGCTCAGGTCATGATCCCAGGGTCCCGGGATCGAGTCCCACATCGGGCTCCCTGCTCGGCAGGAAGCCTGCTTCTCCCTCTCCCACTCCCCCTGCTTGTGTTCCTGCTCTCGCTATCTCTCTGTCAAATAAATAAATAAAATCTTTAAAAAAAAAAAGAATTCCTCAAATCAGTGAGAGGGGGGTGGGGGAATGGGTTAACCTGGTGATGGGTATTAAAGAGGGCATGTATTGAATGGAGCACTGGGTGTTATACGCAAAAAATGAATCATGGAACACTACATCAAAAACTAATGATGTATGGTGATTAACATAACATAATAAAAAAAAACTGTGACGGTGGAACTATGTATGGTGATGGATGTTAACCAGACTTACTGTGATCATTTTGCAATATATACAAATGTTGAATAACTATGTTGTATTCCTGAAACTAATATAATGTTGTATGTCAATTATACCTCAATTTAAAAAAAAAAATTGTGAAGGGCCTGAGATTTTTACCTTACTTGCAAACTAGCAGTTTAGCTTACCATAGTTTCATGTGTGCTGTCAGAAGACAAAGGATTCTTGGGTCAGAAACAAGACTTTATTGCTAATGGCACATCATGCAGCATGAGCTTCATGTTTGTGTTGGTTTCAGGTATCCCCATCCTCTAAGATATGGAGTGGTCCAGTTAGATATGTACACAGTGGATTTATACTATAGCTGAGGAACCCTGAGCTAGGGAAACCCTTTTATTATAATGAGCTTCTAGCAAACCTGCTTGACCTTTTTTTCCAGAGGAAGACATTACCTTTATTATACTAGACCCTGAACAAACCTGCCTCTGCTCAGAGGGGTACACTATCTCTGTCTTCCAAGGCTGTTCATTATACAAACATCCTTAAAAAGGTAGTCAAATATAAGACAGTTGGTGCCTCTGCTCAAAAGACAGGCAGAAATGTGATTACCTGTGGAAAATTGTCTCCCAGTTCTCTTCTGTGTATTACAGCAGTTTGACCACCTTGTTATATAGAGAAAAGTCTAGTACCCTACATACTCAAAAAGAAAAGAGCTAAAAAATTGTAGTAGAATAAATTTTATTTTTTTAAGATAATAAATTTCTTTGCAACTAAATATACAGATTTAATTTTCATTTTGATGTTATGTTGGATCAAAACTATTCTTTGCTTTCTTTGTATCAAAATCCATATAGTTTGGGGGTGGGTGAAATGGGTAAAGGCAATAAACAGGTACAAATTTCCAGTTATAAAATAAGTTCTGGGGATATAATGTACAGCATGGTGACTATAGTTATAATTCTGTGTTGCATATTTGAAAGTGGCTGAAATGAGATTTTAAGTGTTCTCATCACAAGAAAAAAAATTATAACTATGATGATAGATGTTAATTAGACTTATTGTGGTGATCATCTTGCGATATATACATATATTGAATCATGTTATACACCAGAAAATACATAATGTTATATGTCAATTATATCTCAATTTAAATAGTAGTACTGATCTAGTATTTAGAAGTATCACACACCAAAACACTAAAGCTCCATATTGTTTTTGGGGGCTAATTATTTCCAAATATTATTCATTTCTGTCCTCTTATTACTGACTCCCACCCTTTAGTCAACTAATTCTTCACCTTGTATTATTTGTGACTTTGGCTTCTCAAGGAAGGGATCACATCTTAATTTCCTTGACTATTCCTTAACACCAAGCACAATATTTTATTTGCAAAAGAACTCAATAAATACTTGTTAACAGGAATATACAATATAAAATAATATTTAACTAGCTTAGAACATATAAATAATAGGAGCTTCAGAACATTAATATGACCAAAATTTCCACAGGTGACAATAATGCTCTAACACAAAACAACTTTTAAGAGCAGATTAAAAGGATAAATCTAAAATATAACAAAAATCATATAATTTGTTCCATTGTATAGAAAGGTAATGGGCAGAGTCATATATTGATTTAAAATTGATTCATTTACGGTGTCATTGAAATTATATTTTCTCTTTTTTTTATTTGAGAGAAAGAGAGAACATGAGTGGGAGGGCCAGAGGGAGAGGGAGAGAGAATCTCAAGCAGACTCCCGCTGAGCATGGAGCCTGATGTGGGGCTCAATCTCATGACCTTGAGATCACAACCTGAGCTGAAACCAAGAGTTGGACACTTAACTGACTGTGCCACCCAGGCGCCCCTAAAATTATATTTTCTAATGAAATATTCAATGCAATAAAAATTTGCATAAAGTTAATAGTTTATTAACTTCTAAACCATATAATGGTGAGTATCCTTAAAGAACTCAGGACAGAGATGTGTATTAACTTTCTAAATTCAGGTAGTTCTGTAGACGAACCGGTATTAAAAGTGAAAATATTCCATTTGGGAGCATATTGTTGGTCAGTAGTTGAGCCCTGATGGTTATTCTGCAAAGATGTAATAGTTCACATGGATCTTTGTATCTTGTTGAAGGAATGTAGTCGAGCCAATTAGAAATAATTGGACGCCTTCCTAAACTTAGCTGCGTCTGAAGAAAGGGGAAACATTTCAATTTTGTAATATTAATCACTGGTTAGTCCAAATTATTAGCATTTTCATTTTGTATTTAAATTCAGAAAATAGGTCTTAAATTTATATAACCCTTATAGTACTTTTTACACAGTTTTTTTTTTACCCGAGGCTAGTATTTTTATTCCCCTTCTATTCTCACAATGATATATAAAGTTTAAATAATATGTCTAAGGACACAAAACATCATTTCTTACAACTATGAATCTGTATATGTTTTTCATTTTAGACAGATCACACACTGATGTTTTATCAGCTTCTCCTTCCAGAGTAGTATTGTCAACTTGGCTATACACCAGAATTATCCAGGGGATTTTAAAATATACAAATGCTGAGGTTTTACTCCAGGAATTTTGATTTAATTCATCTGAGGTTGGGCACAGACAACATAAATCTTAAAAGTTCCCCCAGGTGATTGCAAACATTGTAGAATAAAATTTCAAACGCTAAACCATGAGAAATCTTGATAGGAGACCCATCTATATGAAAAGATAAATTTTTAAGTTTTAGTTAGGGTACCCCTTTTAAAGATTTAATTCTAGAAGCTAAATGTTAAGTTGATTTAAGAATAAAAGACATTGCTGAGATATTTCTCTAGTAGAACCTATAATCTGTAGACTATATGGTACTTTTGATACTTTTGCTTAAATGATATATATTATTATTTAGTCAATACTCAGCTATTCAAAAAATATCTAGTATATGCTTTAGCAACTTAGCACAAGCATTTAATTCATTGCTTGGGATCATTGCTAGGGTATGTGAAATAGTCTCTGCTCATAGAACTGAGGGATAGATATTTTCAATTGCACAAATATTTTAAGCCTTTATATTTTTATTTCTTGGCATGTGATTATATTTGTGAGGAGAAATGTAACTCATTTTAAATATTCTACTGTAAAGAATTCTGTTAAATTTTTAGTTTATTGTGTCCTTAAGACATAGAAATCCTATTAAACACTGGTTATTGTGTAATTAGACTATAATAATAACATACATCTACTTAGCAACTACTAAAATAAACTATAACTTTTAAAATGATTTATTTAGAAGACAAAATCATGAAATAAAGGACTAATAAAGGGCTAATTTTCTTTAATTTAGATAATTTAGATTTTACCTATTTTTAATTTATAAGCCTACACTCAATTATTAATTTTTCACTGGATATAATTCATAGATTAGAAATAAAATTCATTCTTGTCTCACAATTTTATCTTAAAATTGATCAATATTTAAGCCTAAACCCAAAGAACAATATTTTGCTTACCTCTATTTCCCTGATTGAAATGGCAGAAAGCACTCTGGAACATAGCACTAAACATGTTTTGGCATCTTCCTGGATGTCTACCAATTCATGATCAACCATTATTCTCACTCTTGAAGGGTAGAGCAATATTGTTATCACAATGTTGATGGGGTTTTTTTCTCTTTCTAAGATTCCATATTGCAGGAGTATTTTCAAGATATTAGATTGTCTTGTCTGAGCAACATAGAGTAGAGGTGTGATGCCACTTAGTGGGCTTGGACAGTATACTGGTGTGAAAGTTCTGTGAATCAAACAAACAAAAGCTTCACTGAATACAGAATTAAGAATTGTGGTAAACACTTTGTCTTCATAGTAATGGGAAAATAATAGTATTATCTTAAATATTAAATGTCTTAAATGGCTTTTAATGTAGCTTTATCTTTATGTATGTCTTTTTTTTTTTAAAGATTTTATTTATTTGACAGAGAGATAGGAGAGCAG